AAAAAGAAAAAAGAAAAGAGAAGACCCAAATGGTGTCGTTTTGAACGGTACTGTGGGTCTTCTTCTTTCCTTGGATGCCCGAAGTAAAGAGTAATATTCCGATTGTACGACTTGATCAATTTTAAAAGATCCCAACATATGCTTTTAATTTGAGGGTAATTTTTTTTTAATCTAATAAAAATTTGATAGAGTTTCGTTTATATTTAGAACATCCCAAATTATCGTTTACTAACAATTTACTCAATCAACTCATCATCACAAGATCCCGTAATTCCAGACCTTATATCAAACATCATAATTCAACCCCTCTCTCTCTCTCTTTCACACACACACACACATACAATTTTTTTTTACAAGCAAGTTCAATATGAACATAGCCCATATTTTATATCATAAAATTTAAAAGAACAAGGAATACTAACATGCAAATAAAGCATTTACAACATTATAAGTGTTCTTAAATTTTTCAAAAGAGTTAATTATAAGATAACTAAAATACGACATGCTAAGCTAAAACTTTTATAAATACATTAAGGTTTATATAAAATCATACTACATAAACACATTAATTTCCTTTTGTTTAAGTTAAATATTTACATGTGCTTAACAAAGTAGAGTCCTAACTAATGATCTCTCTGGATATTTGATGGATTTGTTACATAAATAAACATACCATTATGTTGATAAAAGATATATATATATATATATATGCTCATGTATACAAATGAAGTATTAATTTTCTATCGGATTCATAAGAATTCTAACAATCAACTTATATTTTTCTTGTAAATCTTTTAAATCCAATTAAAACTCCTTTGCATATTCTTAATTTGAATACTCATATTTACTTGCATGAATTGATTGACCTTGCGAAATCTAATCTTGTAATTCAGTTCTTGAAAATCCTATCACGAATGTCATTAGCCGAAACTATTTTTGTAAATATGCTAGACTTTATTTATATTGAACATGATATTTATTGTAATTGTATTCACTAGAATAATTTTAAATTGTATAAGTGCAAATAGAAGGGAAAAATCATGCACCAGCTCCGCTTGTCTCATGACCTTCTTTAACAGAAGATCCAATCCTGGTTACTCCTTTTGAATCACAAGGAAGTTTTTGGTTATGATTCCTTCAAGTCGATATTATAGAGAATCCGTATTCATCAATTATTCATATGTTACTTTCTATGCATGTTCATTTCCACATAATAACTAACACACACGTGTGTACATACACACACACACACACACATATTTTCAGAGTTAGTATCTTAATGCGTAAATGTTCGTATGATTCAATTCTTTTATATTCTTATATATAGTATTCACGTGAAAGTCTATTGTTATTACTTAACTTTGAACTATTATTGTCTAGTAATTACTGTCTGAACACTTATCAAATTTTTGACTATATCTAGACTTTTAGAACTACATTTTATGTGAGATTGATCTCGTTAGAAAGCTAATACATGAGAATACAAGTTCTTTAAAGGAAGGAGAACCCAATTTTGCCTCCAAGATAGTCAAAATTGCTAATCAACTAATTAGTTCTACTGCCTTACAGAATTAGTCATGGCTCAATCTTGGTTGGTAACCTATAACTAGAGCATCTCCAAATTGAGCAAGACCATTTTTCTTAGTTAGCTAACATCCAAATCTATAATTTCTATGAAGAACTCGATCTTAATCCCCTTCCTTTTACTCGAAATCTCACCGAAAGTCAAGAGATAAGTCTGTCTCGATTTGTCACCTCTTTCCCTTCACACAATACTTTTATAAACTATATACCACATATGAATTAACTTAATTTTAACAACAAATACTTTTTCTTCAATTCATGTCTAAGAACCCTAACATATCATTCAATATCAAGGTATCAATTCATTATCGAATTTAAAATGAATTTTTAAGATCATGTTTATAACACCTTACTCGGTACGAATTAAGATTTTGATTTTCAACCAGTTGAAGGTTTTCAACTCCCTCCTTTCTTTTCTTCTTGTTCAATTTTCTTGTTAATCCTTTGAGCATAAGTGTTTATCCCATCTATAAACCTTTAATCTTGGATGAATTCTTGAAATTTTAGTGTTTCTTTTTTGATTTTACAAGAATGAATACAAAACTTCATATCTTTCTTTTCCTATGGTTCATGTACATTTTTGATGATGAGAGGGTATTTATACTGTATAATTTTTCTTATTTGTATTTAGGCCTTATTTTTTTAAGTGTATTATTCTTTTCAATTAAATCCAACCCTCAGTGATACCGGGTTCATTATAATATCTGGAATTATTTCGACTAAAAATTTATATTAAAAAATTTATAAATTCTTGTTTTTATTTAACCATATGTACGAATTTCTTCACTTTTATTATTTATTTATTTTCTGAGGTTTATACAGGGGAAGAAGAAGATTTTTTCTTCATTTTTTCCCCACTGCCAGCTCTCTCTCAAAAAGACGCCGACCAACCTCACTTGTCTAAAAAAACTTTCCATGTGTTGAAGGGGCGGTGAAGTGCAGCCCTGATCTCTCTCTCCCCTATTTTATGTCTATAAATGCAAGGGAAGGGAAGAGAGAAAAAAAGTAGATAGGAGGGCAGATAAAAGAAGATAAATAAGAGAAAAGAGAGGGGGAAGGCCAAAAGAAAAAAAAAAGAAGAAAAAGCAAAGAAGAAAATGAAAAACAAAGGAGAGAAAGAGGAGAAAAAACAGCATCGCCGGCCACAACGCTCCATCGTGCCCTCAGCCACTACTAGCACCATCATTGCCATCACCACAGTTGCTAAAAGCATCGTCAGCCATTATTGGTAAACTTTCTTCCCTTTTCCTTTCTTATTCGAGTCTTGCCATTGTTCACGTTGCATGCGAATAATAGAGAGGCCCACTGTTTAAATGGGCCAACAGACCCTGCCTAACCCAAAACGTTTAGGCTGGGTCTTGCCCAAATGAAAAAAATTTTCTTTTGAAAACTGTAATTTTTCCCGTGTTTTTTCCAACTAAATTTTGTTTAATATCAGTATGTATTTTATGTCATAAAAATATAAATCCGGTATTACAATACCTGATTTTTATCAAATCATCCAAAAATACAAAAAAATTGAAAAAAAATATTTTTATTTATGCGGCCAAATATCTTAAAGCTAAAAAATCATATTGTGATTTTCATACACCAAAAAAAATGTTTTAGCATGCATTGTTAGCTTTAATAACTAGTTTATTAAAATCAAGAGAACATTAACTAAAATTATAAAGACAACATTTTATTTTATCTTTTAGTATTTAGGATATGATATTACACACAATACATATTTTAGATATTAATTTTTTTTTTGTATTTTAGAACGGTTAGGTACTACATCATTAAGATAATAACTTTCTTATTGAGGAGTGCTTTTTTCGAACTTTAAACAAATCAACAATTAGAATTACGACCTTAGATTTTATCAGACAATAAAATAATATAACTTATCTTAGATAGGATATATTTGGAGTGCTAATATCTTTTCTTTATATAACCAGTCTCTGTATCGAGTTTTTGAGACCAGTTAGGATTTTTAGTGATTAGAATATTATGTAATGATTTTCAGCCTATATTTATTGATAAAAACTAAAATTTTTTTGTATTTTTGTATTTACTAGTAATTTTTTAAAATTTTCATGAGTGGTGGATGATAGCCACAAGTTTGTGTGGGTGACGTGTGACAGTAAAAAATAACGTCAAATTATTAACGTTAATATTAATTAGATACACTAACCCTTTAAGAGGGTTGATGAGTTCTTTTTGCAAGTTGAGGCTCAACTTCTAACCTCCAAAAGAAGTGCTCTCATGATCTCAGAAGAACGTGTCCTTCGTAAAATATATATCGATCGTGACTCATGAGCAATAATTAATCACGAAATTTCAAAGGAAAATCATTATATAAAATAACACAATTATCCCATTGCAGGCCGATTATTATTTTTTTAATTAAAAAAAATACTTAGATGACGATGATATCTTGAAAAGAGTAAAAAAATAAATAAATAAAGACTCGATTCAGTTTTCTGTTTTAGAAAGAGAGAAAGGGAGATGATGATTAAAGTATTGATAGATTTATGCTTGTTTTGTGAATAAAGTTATTGAATATTATTTCAAGAGATTGAAGAATATATAAAAGTAGATGATTCTCCCTCGGCAGCTTCATGCATCCAAACCATGATCATATATATATATATATATATATATATATATATATATTAAAGTGAGGTAGAGATTAGGATTTAACAAGCCTTTTGCTCATAACTATATTTGAATGGTATTTTTTTATTTTTAAAAAATTAATTTTGATATTATTAAATTAAAATAGTATGAAAATATTATAAAATATTAATTTTAAATAAAATAATATTTTTAAATTTTTAAAAACTTAATGTCAACCGTATTTTCAAATATATTTTGACCTCCTTGTTTCCATGTACGATGGAAAGGTTGGAAAAATCATAATTGTTTTTTGTAAAGTATGACTTGATTGATTAAAAAAATCTTTATATAATGATGCGTGTATGTGGTAAAAAATATTTTAGCTCCGATTGTTTGAGTAAAATCTCATTTTGATTTCTATAAATTAAAGTTTTGCTTTTTTTAAAAATAATTTTAATTTGATAAAAAAAAGTGTCGATGCTTAGTTAATTATACACTATTTAGTATTGTGATAAATTATGCTTTTAAGAGGTTTTTTTTTTTTTTAATTAAGATAAGGTTGTGTTTTTTATATTTTCGATACCAACACATATTTAATGTTTTATTTAAGATAAATATATTTTTTAAAATAAATAAAAATAGATATTACTACCCTTTCAAATAAATACTATAAAATAATAAAGTACACAATAAAGACTTTTTGAAGATTATAAAAGTGATGCCCTAAGGACCACATGGAACGTTACATAATCTATGTAGCCTACAATATAGTTTATACTTGTTTTTATTATTATTATTATTATTATGTGCTTTGTAGTATATTGGGGTAGCAAAAATGGGACGTCCTTGAAATCAATACATTTACAGAATATGCTAAAAATCCAAGCATCAAAACCAAAAATCCCACCCCTATCACAAACCAGCCCAACAAATCAAGCCCACCCAATCACGCCACCGCCGCCGCCGCCGCCGCCGCACCCACAATAACTACAACAAGAAAAATCCAATGTCCATGACCAAAACCAGAAAAATCCATCCAAGCCAACTTGTAAATTAAAAAAGAAAAATAGAAAAAAATCCTTCCCTTCCTTTTTCACACAAGAAGCCCCCCAATCGCCATCTCAGACAGCACACGAACACTTACATCTCTCTCTATTTTTGATGCGCCTACTCTTGTTTACTCCAAACCCAATCAAAACCTCTCCAACACTATATTTCCTCAACTCGCTCCGATCCAACTTAATCAAACGCACCTTGCCAACTCGGAGATCTTTCATCCCTGCAAGAATGGCAATCCCTCCACGATCAATAGCATCAGCGCCATCTTGCACTACAACATCAGGCAGAAGTAACATCAACATTGAAGAGGGTCTTGCTAGTAAATTCTGGATCAAGTTTAGAAGAGAATCCGTTTTTGCTATGTACACTCCTTTTGTCATCTCTTTGGCTTCTGGCACTCTCAAGATTGATTCTTTTAGGCAATATCTCTCTCAAGATTCTCACTTTGTCATCTCTTTGGCTTCTGGCACTCTCAAGATTGATTCTTTCAGGCATTATATCTCTCAAGATTCTCACTTTCTCAAATCTTTTGCTCATGCGTGAGTGCCCCTTTCTCCTTTTCTTATTTTTTAAGCTATTTTGATTCTTGTGTTCTTTTGGAATTCTCGATTATTGTGATATAGTGATGGAAATATTTTGTTCTTTTGGAATTCCCTTTTGTGGGTTCTTGGTTGGTGGGAGAGTGAAGTAATGATTGATAATTTACGGTTAAGTATTCAGGTAACTAAGAGAGAAAGTGATTAGTGAAAATTTGGAGATCTTCATGAAAGAGTTTATTGAAGCATCAGATGGAGTTTCTTGGATGATTAAATAGTGAAGTGAAGATAAGATAATTTACGATTAAGGTTCGGTCAATAGAAGGGAGAAGAGAAATTGTTTGATGAACAATGGAGGTTTCTTTTTATCATTTCTGTAAGTAACCTAGTTGTTTGGTAGCTGAGAAAGTGCGGGAAAGGGGAGAAAAATTGGTTTGATTTTGGAGAAATGATGTTATCTTTTTTCCTTGATTTGTATTCCTGGAGTGTTTATGTTATAGAGCAGTTGAAAAGATGAAAGCAGCGGTGTCTCGTACTAATTTAGATGTGTTATCTGTGAACGGAAATAAAGAAATTGGTTTTGTTTTGATGAAGTGGCATTTGATTTTTATATGGCTCTGGAAACATGTTTGAGTGATCCAGTTTTAATTTCAGGTTCTGTATGTGTGTATTAATTTTTTAGCATGTTTAATGAGAAAATTTGGAAAAATAAAATGATTGGGGTAGGGGGTTTAATTAAGTTGGAGGATGTCCTATGTTTAAACCTTTCCTAGTGAACGATTTTTGATGATCTTCGCTTATAATATGAAGAACTGGAATTAAATCTCATGTTTCATTTGTATGCGGAGAGTGGTGGAAGAAAAAATGCAACCAAGAATGTGAAGACTTGTTTTCTTTATTTGGAAACAGAGCTGCTATTTCCCCCACCTTTTCTAAGTTAAGTTAATTAGACTTGTTGCCATATTTGATGAATTATAGTACTTTTCGGCGAAAACAAGAGCAGCATCAACAATATGAATAAAATTCCTTCCATCTTTTCTTGTCTCATTTTCCTGCTACTAATTGGAGGTTTAAAATGTTCTTGTTTGAAAAAAAGAAAAAGAAAAAGAAAATATTAGTTGCATCACCTGAGGTGAGCTACACAATTGATTTACAGACGGTGTTTTATTTGCTCTTGTCAGTATTGACTACATCAATAGAGTTAGGGTACTTTTTAAGCATTTGATTTGGTTTATTATTGATGTTATTGGATTTTAGGTTTGAATTAGCTGAAGACTGTGCTGATGATGATGAAGCAAAGCTAGCAATCTCCGAGTTGAGGAAGGGTGTCTTAGAGGAGCTGAAGATGCACAATTCATTTGTACAGGTTAGATAATTGACGTAGAAAGCTCGCTTCCTCTTCTTTTCATTTCTATTTGCTATTTTGTGATTTGTGTCGGAGAAAAAAAAAGTAGTTTAGTTTTTTCAACCTTTGATTGTGAAAGATGAGGGTTTTTTTCTTTCTTCTTTTCTTTTTGGGTTCCTACTAATGCTATGGTTAAGCATCTTTTCCTTCTGCTGATATTTTGTGAGAACCCTCAAGGATCATTTCTTTGTTGCCTTGATCAACCTTGCTTAAAACAGCTTTATTATGGAGGCTATTATTTTCTTTCCCCTTTGCATTCTGACATTCAAGTTGTTGAATCTATGTTACTGTAATGTGGTTCTGTCATCATGCATTTTTTAGCGTTACTTCTGCTTGCTCCTTCCAGGAAGCTCATTTCCATCAGTGGGTCACGGAGGAGAAAAATTCTTCAACACTGGAATCTTAAGGAACAATTTTCTGCTTTATCCCTTGTGATGTTCATTCCTCATACTAGTGCTACTAAAATCACATTCTTTTACTTTATATAATCAAATTAGAGATAGCAAGGTTCTAAAGAGGTGACTGTGCATCTTTTGTAGTAAACTAAACGAGGACTGATGAGTTCTCAGGAATGGCACCTTGTCATAATCACCACTTCTTGTGTGTTGAAGATTCATTCTTCGAACACTTCGGAGCTAGCACCATAGATCTGTTGTAAAATTTTAATTTTCATCTAAAACTGCATAATTATAAATAAGCTATTCACATCTATCAAATCTTTAGTTTCCAATGCTGTAAGCATATGGATATCTTACATGAAACAGTTATGTCAGTGTTCTGAATGTTTGAAATATCCAGGAATGGGGTATAGACCCAGGTAAAGAGGGGACTATCAATTCTGCTACTGTAAAATACACAGATTTCTTGTTGGCTACAGCTTCTGGGAAGGTTGAAGGAGTGAAAGGTCTTGGTAAACTTGCAACTCCTTTTGAAAGAACAAAAGTTGCAGCCTATACCCTGGGTGCTATGACACCTTGCATGCAGCTGTATTCCTTTCTAGGCAAGGAACTCCAGGCAGTTTTAGATCTGGAGGAAGATGGGCACCCTTACAAGAAGTGGATTCACAGTTACTCGTCTGAGAGATTTCAGGTAATTCAAGGTGTTGCCAGTGGTATTTCGCTTTGTAATGGTCTTCCTGATTACACTTTCTTGACTACAGTCTGAGGTTAAAATATATTACGTAAATGGCCTACTCTACCCCCAACATCTCAACTATTGTACTCTTTGAAATCTAGGCATCAGCTCTGCAAACTGAAGACTTGCTGGATAAACTTAGTGTCTCCTTGACAGGCGAGGAGCTTGACATCATTGAAAAGCTTTATCACCAGGCCATGAAACTTGAAATAGAATTCTTCCTTGCTCAGCCAATTGCTCAGACAACTTTAGCTCCCCTGACAAAAGGGCATAACCCTGAAGAAGACCGGCTTGTCATATTTTCTGATTTTGATTTGACATGCACTGTTGTTGACTCTTCTGCCATTTTGGCAGAAATTGCAATACTAACAGCACCAAAATCTGATGTGGTTCAACCTGAGACTCAAATTGCTCGAATGTCATCAGCTGATCTGAGGAACACATGGGGTCTTCTTTCTGGACAGTACACGGAAGAGTATGAACAATGTATTGAAAGCATTATGCCATCTGCAAAAGGTACAATTCTTTTGTGCAAATTCTTGTGAGGTAGAAGTTGGACTATGTTAATTGCCGGGGGATGAGAAATGGGCTGTTGCTGAAGATGTTAGTATAATAATAAATCCTCTGGCTGGTTTTGACTTTATGATTTTTTGCAGTGGAATTCAACTATGAAGCTCTTTGTAAAGCACTTGAACAACTTTCAGACTTTGAGCGAAGGGCAAATTCTAGAGTGATTGATTCTGGGGTTCTCAAAGGTTTGAATCTTGAAGATGTAAAACGAGCGGGTGAACGTTTGATTCTTCAGGATGGTTGCACTGGTTTCTTTCGGAAAATTGTGAAGAATGAAAATTTGAACACGAATGTCCATGTGCTCTCATACTGCTGGTGTGGTGATCTCATCAGATCAGCTTTCTCCTCAGGTATGCTCTTTCTATGTGAGAATCATGAGTAAAGAACTCTTAACAGCAAATATATACAAGTTTGTGTTTGGTAATGCAGTTGAAAGTGCATTTTCAAAGTGTGTAAGTGCATTTTAGGTGCTTTTTTATGATTTTGACATCCTCGTACCAAAATCATCTAACAACACTAAAACAACATCAATTTGGTGCTTTTTTCAGATGAAAATACGCACCTGAACTGCAATACCAAGCAGTGCTTAAAAAGAAAAGCTATATCTTGTTATGGTCCTACCAATTTGATTTTTGGGAGGGGGAATTTGGAGGTGTTCTACAGTTCAGTATTTTTGCTTGCAGTGACTGCAAAAAATTCAAACCGATTTGTGTACTGTAGCATTGAATATGCACATACACACACATGCATATATGTATATATTCTCCATCAGAGTTTGTAGTTTTCTACCTTTCGCATTGCTAACTCACAGGAACAGTGACCTCTTAATCACTTTACAGTCTGATTGTTGTATTAAATTCTACTTCTCCACTGATGACCCCTAACTGTAGTTGTCGAAAGTAGTTTGTGATGCATGATAGCTAAATCCTTGTTGATACTCAATTAGTTGCATAGTCTACATTATGTGGGTTGACGTGTTTTATTTTGGTCTTTGTTCTCCTGTTTTTCAAATCCACTTTTTCAAGGACTACCTTTTTCTGAGAGATATCTGCTCTAGTTTCCATAATCCTTTTTTGCATGTGAGCACGGATGAAAAATCTGTCTCATGTAATGTGCTAATTTTGGGAAGAACATTTCGGAAAGCAATAAAAAACAACATGAAAATCATATAATTATTTGGAAACATATGCTAACAACTACTAAGGTGCAAAAATAAATGAAAAACTAAATGTATGTTGTGCAAGCATCAACAAATAAAAGGAAATGAAAGGTGTATCGCAATTTACTCCTTTCTTATTTAACTATGTGGAATTGGAGAGACAGCATTTATTGCAATTTCTTGCTACAATGGTATTTTCTTCTTCACCCTAAGATTTATACATTGAAATTATGCTAGTATGAAAATTTTCGCATACAGTAAATAGATGGATTATGCATCTAAAATTTGTGCATAAAATTGTTTAAATGATCCAAAGAATTCCATGGCATCAGTCAACATAATAGCAGGATACAGAAGTCAATCCTGGTATGTTGGTGGAAATTTTACATAGAAACCTCTTCTTAAATATGCAGTAGATAGGTTTGCAGCTTTTAACATATGAGAAAGATTGCTGGTATTGTTGCTCTTGGTGAGCATAAGATCTCCATTGAGTTGAAAGAAAAAGTTACTATCATCTGGCAGAACTGCGTTTCAGGAAACCTTGAGAACAATATTTCTTGAGTTAAACACCTATCTGGGAGTTCATAAATGTTATTTTGGGTCACACATGAGGCCTTGCAATGCCCTGAGCTGCAATGGCTTAGCATGCTACAACATGCCTTGCTGAGGCTTAGCATGCTACAACATGCCTTACCGAGGCTTAGCATGGCTGTGACATGCCTTGCTGGTGGCATGCATAACCATGATATGCCCACAAGGTCTCTTCCAGGAGAACAAGATGTGGGTGAGCCTCCATAGTTACGACAGTCACATTCTCTGATAGGTGTGCATGCATACTGACAAACAGGATACAAGACTAATCATGAATTGCTATTTTATCTACTGAAACAACTTCTCAAAATTTGTTATCATGCTGGTTATATGTCCTTATCTTTTGACTCCCAGTCCCTTGTATTCTTTGAACCAACAAAATGTTTTCCTAGGATCAAAGGCTGCAAAATTTTATTTTCCATTTTAAGTTGGGTTTCTCTCGATATGTAGTGATTGATTCTGAAATTCACTATTAATGCTTTTTATTGAAATTCATATACAGCTCTCTTTCTCTATCTCTGCTTTTGATTTCATCTCTCTTCTGGATAAAGTTTAGTATTTTTCACTGTTGCTCTACAAGACTAATGGGAACTTAGCCCCATAATCAGTCATGCTTTGCTTTATTGTTAAACAGGGGGTTTGGATGCTCTAAATATTCATGCAAATGAGTTAATTTTTGAAGAATCAATCTCCACGGGAGAGATTGTTAAAAAGGTGGAATCTCCCATGGACAAAGCTCAAGCTTTCAATGACATTTTAAAGAATTACAGCAGTGACAGAAAGAACTTGACTGTTTACATTGGTGATTCAGTTGGTGACTTGCTTTGTCTACTTCAGGCAGATATTGGTATTGTAGTTGGATCTAGTACAAGCTTAAGGAGCGTGGGAAGTCAACATGGTGTTTCTTTTGTACCACTGTTCCCTGGCTTGGTAAGAAAACAGAAAGAATCTGATGGAGAATCTCCTAATTGGAAAGGGCTATCTGGCATACTATATACAGTCTCCAGTTGGTCAGAAATACATGCCTTCATTTTGGGGTGGTAGAATCATTTTTGCTCGCTCACACCTGCGTTTTAGTTAGGAGAAATCAAGGAAATATTTGTTACTCAATGGAACACCAATACAAGATGATGGCCTATTTTATTAGGGGCCACATATCTGCCGCTGTTTGGCCATTTTCCCCTTCTTTCCACGGGTCTTCTGATAAAAAATGTAATGAATTCTGTTGGCTGGATAATGCTGTGAACTTGGTATTTACAATCTCCTGTACTTCTATTGCCAACCTCACCAAATTCTTTTGTTGCCCATTGTAGATGCTCGCTGGTGCTGGTTCTATACCTTAGTTTTGTTCGTTAATACGATTATTTTCCCGGCATGTAGATTAGACTTGTCAATTTGTTCATATGGTGCATAAATCTACTGGTATTTTGTGCTATTCATTGATGATGGTGATGGTCGGTGTTTGGCAGGGAAGGCAGCATGTAAAATTTGAGTGACATCAGTATTAGAAGATAGAGGATATTGCTTTAATCAGTGCAGTTCTCATACCGGCAAGAGACTAAAGATAGTGTGTTTGTTATTGTGTTAGTTTTTATGGTTATGGTTTTTTTAAAATATTTTATAAAAAATATTTTTGTTTAAGATTGATTTTATATTTATATATATTTGATTAAAATTGTGGTTGAAATTGAGTTTGAACAAAAAATAGATTAATGTGTTAGGTTAAGAATACTTTTAAAATTAAGGTTATAAAATAATTTAGAAAAATATATATTAATAATGATGATTTTTAATTTAAATATTGTAGATTTAATTATTGATAATAAATCATGAAATAAATAAAATTTTATATTAAATATTTTTTATTGTTCAATTAAACTATCTTTACTGTTTACATGAACAGTGGAGACATGCTCCCCTATTCACTTAAGTGAGCTACTCTCCATGAATGAAAGCAATATTTTATTGCTTTTAGTGAGCTTGCATTTTCAACGCAATAATTGATGGGGCTCATGAATAGTGAATTAAGTTTTATTAGTTACCAAATATTTATTTTTTGTTGTTGGCTTTAAAAGCATAAACTACCATAGAAACAAACGATCTACAAAGCATTTTATTTTTATACCTCTTTTTTTATTGATTCTGGGCTGGTTGGTTCTTGTAGCTTGCGATATTAGAAACTACAGTTGGTGCAAGAACTTTCATCGATTGTTATTTCGTGTTGCTTTTTGCAAACTACAGGTGCAACTTTTTTATTTTTTCTTAGGTTTACTTTTAGTCATGTTCTAATCGCATCATATGTCTTAATTATATCATCATATAAAATATTAAACTTCTATTTTAAAGGATTTATACGCAACATATATAATATATTTGTTCAGGTAACATGTTTAATTTTAGAATTGAAGTTACTAACAAAGTGATGCAAAGAATATCAATGATGCCCAACCAACTCAGGAAATATTTATGCTATAATATTTTTAATCACTACATGTCTATCTAATATAGTACATAACTTGGTGTGAATCTCAATTACATATTGACAAAGCAAACCTAAATTACTATTCATTTCTTCTTCAACAATAGCAAAATACAATATATAAACTTCATTATTTGCATTATAAGAACTGCAATTAACAACTTTACCTTGTAATTACCATACATGTGAGTGTCGTCAATGCTAATTAGAGAACAATAATATTGAAACATATCATTTGAAGCACCAAATGCCCTCCCAAATGTTTTTTTTAATACCATCAACCATTTTATGATCTCAATTGGCAACCATTTCTAGATTTGAATTTCTTATGGTTAATAACATTCTAGGTAGAATTTGGAAGGACTTTTTATGCATACCAAATAACCACTCCATTATTTTTTTCTTAGCCATCTATGCCATTCAATATGAGACATCATGCTCATAATCGCTCTAAAGAATAGTTTCAATACTTGCAACACTCATACTTATAATCGGTGTCATAATTATCAACATTGCCTTTATAATCAGATCATTGTTAATCTAATGATGGTGTTGTAAAATAAATTAGTTTTGATATGTGTGTGGCTCTTTCAATTTTAATATCTCCTATGAATTAGATGTCTGATGATGTCCCCCACGCAAGTACCATCCGTATGCTGGTTCTTGAGTGCATTACAACTGCACATAAGTTTTAGTTGAATGATAGACCTTGTAGTGTAATGAATTCTTGATATGTTACCACTTAAATGTAATAATACATTTAGATTTGTGTCTAATGTTTGTCTAACATTCAGTTCATCACCTGATAATCCTGAATGCCTATAAATCATAAACCAATCATTATATTAGTATTGATCATGCCCATTAACAACCTCAAACTCAAGAATAGGTGTCATTAATTGGTTTAGTGGCTTAACCACGTTAACATTCTTAATAAAATTATCAACCCAATTAATATATTTCATATCTAAATAACATATTTTATACCTAATTAAACCAAATCTCTAATTTAACACAAAAAACCCTAACTCTACCCCTAATTAACAACCCAAAATCATTGATTTTATTAAAAATAAAAAATTAACAACTCAAATCAATATATTTTATATATAATTAACTTAATTTAAACCTAATTAAAAAAATAATGAATTTCTTTTCTAAAGATCCTTAATTCTAAACCCTAACATTTTTAAAATCAATAATTAACATAAACTAGTATAAATTATATCAAATCTATATAAGGAAAGTGTGTAATAACCTTTTAATGTTGAATGTAGGTGGTGATGACTAGTGGTGGAGGTAATGGCCAAATCTTTAGTGAGAGATCCATGAGTGGAGAGAGAAAAACCTACATTGTAGTGGAGAGAGGGGGGTAGTCTTGTGGTGGAAATAAGAGTGTTTTGCGATGGGGAGAGAAGGAAATGACTATGAGTAGTAGTGGGTCATAGGGTTGGGAGTGGTTATTGTCATAACCCATTTTTTGATCCCTGTATGAAAAATAATAAATAAAAAAAATAAAAACATATTATAAAAAAATATAAAAATAAAAAAAGAAAATAAAAAAAATATTATAAAAAATATAAAAATAAAAAAAGATGCCAAAATATCCTAAAAATAGTCAAGAATTGGTTGAGGAGGGTAAAAAAAAACAAAGATTAAAATTTGGTAGTATTTTATTGACTGATGACAGCCTTGTTGACAATGAAAATTCACCTTTAGTTTTATTGACTGATGACAGCCTTGTTGATAATGGAAATTCACCTTGAGTAAGAAAAGTTCAAAATAAGATATTTATGGATTTTATTAAATTTTATTGAAGGTTTAATTGAATTTATGAAGGGTTTAATTGCAATAAAAATTGATTTTGGAGTCAATTTGAGTTTTAATTAAAAGAAATTAAAGTTTTGGGCTCAAATTATAATTTTTGGAAGTTAATTTGGTCAAATCGGGGCCTTAATTGCATAAATATTAAAGTTTGATGGCCAATTAGGGACTTAATTGAAGAAATCTGAAACTAAGGACCAAAATGAAAAAGACGCGAAAATAGGGGGGCTGGAATTAAAACAGGATCAGGGATCCAATTGAAGATCTTAGAAGTTTATTGCTCAATTGAGGGTCAAATTATGTAATTTCAAGACCAAAGACCAAAGTGAAAAAGGCGGCCAACTTCAGGGCCACTGTTGGATTTTTGATAGGGATGCAATTACATTGATTTTTAAATTAAAATTGCAATTTAGGACTTGATTGAACAAGTTAAAAATTAAGGACCATTGTGAAAATTAACACGTTTCTACTGCCTTTTCATTTAAATGAAATGGCGCGTTTTGACTAAAACAGTGTCATTTCATGCACTGTTTAAAAAAGAAAAAGAAAAGAGAAGGTTCACGGTGCCGTTTTGAACAGCACCATTATCTTCTTCCCTTGGATTTACAAAACTAGGGAAGAAGATGATTTTTTTCTTCTCTCTGTCACCGCCTTCTTCCCCTTCAAACAGACGTTGTCTCCCCTTTAAAAAGATGCCGACTTGCCACCGTTTTCACGTGTTGGAAGGATGGTTGAGGGGTGGCAGCATAATGGCCGCCCCATCCATTTGCTCCCCTGTTTTATAAAAACAAGGGGGCAGAACATAGAAAAAAAGAAATAGACCGAGATATGAAGAGGAAAAAGAGGACCGAGAGAAAACGAGAGACCAAAATAGAAGAGAAGAGAGAGGGTAGAGAATAAAAGAGAGAAGTGATAAAAGAAAAGAAAAGAAAAGAAAAACAGAGGCTCTTGCCTCGATACAGCAAGGGAGAAGAAGGAAAAGCATCGCTGGCCACCGCAGTGCCCCATCGTTAGCATCACAAGTAGCTGGTTGACGTCCGGTTAGTTGCGTCCATCGTTACCTTCCTTCTCCGGTCACCCTCCGCTGTTCACATTGCATGTGAACAGTGGAGGGTGCTCCATTTTTCTTTTTTCTTTTTGGGCCCATGCATTTAGGCTAGGTCCAGCCCAACATGTGAACAGTGGAGGGTGCTCCATTTTTTTTTTTTTGGGCCCAAGCATTTAGGCTAGGTCCAGCCCAGTCCATGCATTTGGGTCTAACCTGGCCCATTTTAAAAAAATTCAAATTCTTATTTTAGAATTTTTAACATATTTTTCGCCCAATCCATGCATTTGGGTCTAACCTGGCCCATTTTAAAAAAAAATTCAAATTCTTATTTTAGAATTTTTAGCATATTTTTCATGTCATTTTGATTAATATCGGGCAGTATTTTCATGTCGTAAAAATATAAATTTGGTATTAAAATACTCGGTTTTTATCAAAACTACCAAAAATACAAAAAAATTTGAAAAAAAAATAATATTTTTTGTGCATACAATCAAGTGTCTCAAAGCTAAAAAAAATCGTATTGTGTTTTTCATAAAAAAAAACAATATTTAGTGTGCATTTTGGCTTTAATAACCAGTTTATTAAAATCAAGAGTACATTGGCCAAAATTTCAAAAACAATAAAAATTTTATTTTGTTTGTGTCTTAGTATTTGATGTATGACTTTACATTTAATGCGTATTTCAGATATTTAATTCTTTTTCGGACAATAGAACGTGTAATAGTCCGAACTATACGACTCGATCAATGTTAAAAGATTCCAACATATCCTCTTTATTTGAGGGTAATTTTTTTCTTTCAAAAATCGGCAGAGTTTCTTTTGCATTTAGGACATCCCAAGTTATCGACTACTATCAGTTTACTCAATCAACCCATTATCACAAGGTCCCTTAATTACGGACCTTATATCAAACCTCATAATTCCACACCTCATACAATCCACACAATATATATAAGTAAGTTCAATATGAATATAGTCCAACACATCATATCATAAAATTTAAAGGAAAAGGAAAAGGAATACTAACATGCAAAGAAAATATTTACAATATAAGAAGTGTTCTTAAATATTTCAAAATGGTTAATTATAAGATAACTGAAAATACTAGATAAACACGTTAATTCCCTTTTGTTTTAAGTTAAATATTTACATGAGCTTCACAAAGTAGAGTCCTAAACTAATGATCTTCCTGAATGTTTGATGGACTTGTTACATAAATAAACATACCATTATGTTGATAAAGAATATATGTATGCTCATGTAATGAATACGAATGAAGTATTAATTTTCTATCAAATCCATGAGAATTCTAACAAAGAACTTATATTTTGCTTATAAATCTTTTAAACCCAATTAACACTCATATATATATATATTCTTAATTGAATAATCTTATTTACCTGCATAAACTGGGTGACCTTGTAAGGTTTAATCTTGTAATTCATTTCACGACAATCCTATTACGAATGCCATTAGCCGAAGCTAATCGTGTGAATCATTTCCCGGCAATCCTAGCACGGATGCCATTAGCCGAAGCCTATCATGGATGTCATTAGCCGAAGTTAATCGTGTGAATCATATCCCGACAATCCTATCACGGATGCCATTAGCTGAAGCTAATCTTGTAAATGTACTAGGCTTTATTTACATTGAACATGATATTTATTATAATTGCATTCACTATAAGGATTCTAAATTATATAAGTGTAAATAGGAGGGAAAATCATGCACCTGCTTAGCCTGTCTCGCGACCTCCCCTAACAGAAGATCCAATCCTAGTTACTCCTCCTGAATCACAAGGAAGGTTTTTTTTTTTTGGTTATAATTCTTTTAAGCTGATATTATAAAAAATTCATATTCATCCATTACTCATATGTTACTTTCTATGCATGTTCTTTTCCTTATAATAACATACATACATATATCATGTATATTTTCAGAGCTAATATCTCAATATACAAGTGTTCGTATGACTCAATTCTTTTATATTCTTATTTATAGTATTCACATAAAAGTCTACTGTTATTATTTAACTTTGAACTATTATTGTCCAATTTTCAATTGTTATTGTCTAACTTTGAACTGTTATTGTTTGACTTTTCCAACCGTTGCTGTCTGACTTCTCCAACCATTACTGTTTGACTTTTTCAATTGTTACTGTTTGACTTTTTAAACTGTTACTGTTTAACTTTGAACTGTTACTGTCTGACTTTTTCAACCGTTACTGTTTGACTTTTCCAACCATTACTGTTTGACTTTTCCAACTGTTACTATTTGACTTTGAACTTTTACTGTTTGACTTTTCCAACTATTACTGTCTAAATACTCATAAGATTTTTAACTATATCTAAAGTTCTAAAACTCCATTTTAACTAAGATTGATCTTGTTGGAAAGCTAAGATATGAGGCTACTAGTTCTTTGAGGGAGGAGAACCCAGTTTTGCCTCCAAGATAGTCAAAATTGTTCATTATTAATGAGTTCTACTGCCCTACATAGTCAGTCATGACTCAGTCTCAGTTGGTAACCCATAACTGGAGTTCTACATTTTTAAATTGAGCAAGACCAATTTTCTTGGTTAGCTAACATTCAAATCTACAATTTCTATAAGGAACCCGATCCTAATCCCCTTATCGTCTTACCTAAAATCTCATTAAAAGTTAGGAGATAAGTCTGTCTAGATTCATCTTCCCCTCTCCTTCACACAATACTTTCATAAACTACATATCACACACATAAATTAACTTAATCTCAACAATAAGTACTTTTTCCCCAATTTATGTCTAAGAACCCTAACCTATGATTCAATATCAAGGCATCAATTCTTTATCGAATTTAAGAATGAATTGTTTTAAGATCATGTTTAAAATACCTTACCTGGTACAAATTAAGATTTTGATCTTCAACCAATTGGAGATTTTCAACTCCTTTTTTTTTTCTTCTTGTTCAATTTCCCTCCTTTCTTTTCTTTTTGTTCAATTTCTTGGTAATCCTTTACTCTCAAGTGTTTATCTCATCTTTAAGCTCTTAATCTTGGATGGGTTCTTGAAATTTTAGTGTTTCTCTCTTGATTTCTCGAGAATGAGTATAAAACTCCCTCTTTTCCCTCCTTATGGTTGCTACCGATTTTTTTTTTTGGTGAGAAGAGAGTATTTATACTCTATATTTTCTCTTATTTGCATTTAGACCCCCTTTCTCCTTTAAGTCTATTATTCTTTTCAATTAAATCCAACCCTCAACAATACTTGGTTTCTTATAATATCTCAAATTATTTTGCTCGGAAATTTATATTCAATTTTTTTTGAATTGATGTTTTTATTTAATCATATGCATGAATTTCTTCACTTTTATTTATTTATTATTTTTCCCAAGGTTTACAGAACGGTTAGGTTTTACCGCATTAAGATAAGAACTTATTAAGGAGGGCTTGTCTTGAACCTTAGATAGACCAATAATTAGAAATCATAACACAACTTTAGATTTTAACAGACAAAACAATACAGCTTACCTTAGGTAGGGCGTATTTGGGGTACAGATATGTTTCCTTTACGCAATAAGTCAACGTAGCTGATTTCTGAAATCAATTGGGGTTTCTAGTGATAGCCTACCTTAGGTAGGGCGTATTTGGGGTACTGATATGTTTCCTTTACGCAATCAGTCAACGTAGCTGATTTCTGAAACCAATTGGGGTTTCTAGTGACCAGAATACTAAATGATGACTCCCATTCAAATTTTCCACTAATAAGAGACACAAGACTTCCTTGTCTCTTCATATTTTTTTAGGAAATACATCATTTTTATTTTTCCTAAAGGGTGGATGATCGTTGCGATGTCACGTACGTGCGACAGTTACTATGGGGAAAGAGGGGCAATAAGGAGAGAAAAAAAGGAAGACATTAGGTTTGATGGTTTAAAATTAATTGAAGTTACTTTCATCATTTGCATCTCGAGAGTTGTAGATGTTAAAAATGCACGTAAGTTGTAGATAATGATAATGACTCGTAAAACTGTGTTATTCTTCTAAATATTTTTTAGGCCGTGTTATTTTACTTTTTTTTTTATTTTCTATGTTAATAACAAAAAAAACTCTTAGATTCATCTATATCATGAAATTCCTAACACTTGGGATTTTTTTTTCTAAGATCATCTAACAAAAGACATGTTGATGCGGTTAGGCTTGTAGAAGTTAGAGGTTCTGAGCATTCAAGTGAAGATTTGACATTAATAAACGGGGATCTAGCTTAGAAAGACTATATGAATCACCTAAAAAATGCTTTTGTAAACCAATCAAATAGGTCTAGAATGGCCAAAACTGGTTAGCTCTATAAAACTATGATAAAGGAAGATCCGACCGTTGGATCGAACTTAAATTTTTACAGGTGATTCTAGTTATAGTTTTTCTTATAGCAAGCACTACATCACTGAATGGACTGTTGGATATTTTAGGATTTTTTTTAAATGCTGTTGTCCATGATTTGGTTGCTTTTATTAATTATCCTGTTTGGTTTAGGATTTGATATGTTTAATGTGGATTTGATGTTTATTTTCTTTATGTTTTGGTCTCCTAGTTGTTTCCTAGTAAAGGTAGAGTTTTCCAGCCTCTTTAAAAAACTTGTAAATCTCTCAAGGAGGAAGCCACCATAGGTAGAGTTTTCCAGCCTCTTTAAAAAACTCTACCTTTTGCATTATTTATCAGAAAAAAAAATTTAGGGTTTATATCTGCAACCATACTTGCTTCTGTCTGCTTCACTTGTATGACATCCATGGATGATAAATGATTTACCTATTCCAAAACATAAACTAAGGAGATTACTCATGTCTATAAAAAGAATTATGTGGATGTTGTGTAAGTAATCTTTAGATTTAATTTCACAAAATTATATTATATAAAGAATGCTATATTTTGATCTTGACTAAATATTACTTTTAATACAAGGTAACAAATAAGCATATATTAAGCATAACATAAACTATATGAGAGAAGATATGATTCATCATCCTAGGAAAAATAAATAAAATATTTTATATGTTCTCAAATAATATCGATTATGAAATCCTTATGCAAAATATAATTAGATTTGAAAAATGATCTTATTGAAGAGCTAATAACTATGGTGTTGAGAACTAACATGATTTAACAAAATATACATACTCCATGCTTAAATATCTAAATCAAAACATTCTAGATTAAAAAATATTAGTTGCACTAAGATACCAATCGCTAAAAAGTTAAGTCAAACTATATATGATTTTTTTAATATAGGAGAAGAATCATGAGATGTTTCTACATGTTACACTTGATATTTAAATATAAATAAATCAATTTGCTGAATTGATAATAAATTAAATTATTTAATTTATTTAATCTTCTTTTAATTATAATTATGATGTATACTTTGATCGATATATTAAGAATTAAATAGGTTATACATATTAAAAATTATTAGTAAGAATTAAACCAGGATCATTAATAATCAAGTTATACTTGATTATAAATAAATTTTAAAAATTAAAAACTAAAGTGTAATTGATACAGAGAATTAAATTTTTAAATTTTAAAAAATTAACTAAGGAATTGAATGCATAAAATATATTATAATTACAATAAAATAAAATATATTCATTATGAGCCAAAACTACTTCCATAGATAATTAGTTTATTTATGCTTAAGAAGAATTAACTCGCTCATCATCTACTACACTAGAGTCTACTCCTTCTTTGTCATTGTGAGGAGTATGTTTATATGTTTTGTCTTCTCCACGCATAGATGTTCACCTACATACTATGCTGTTGGGAAAACTAGGAACAACCGGACACCAATTTACCCGGATCAATTCAGCGGAATACAATTCACAATTCACAAATCCTAATTTTTTTCCCTCTTTGTGCAGTAAAATAAATGCAAATAATCACAAAATCAACACCAAGATTTTTAACGTGGAAAACCCGATGCGGGAAAAACCACGAGACCATAATCCACCTAAAAACTTCCACTGTCAACAAATAATGGGATCAGAATCATTCTTCCTCAGATTCAACTAAGGGATACAACATATATATCATTAAGAACAACTTATTCTCGGATTACAACAAGATTAAAGGAGAATTATTTGAGAAAAACTCACAATACTGATAGCCTCATTTTCTGTCAAAACAGTTAGCTTCCACACCAGCAATCTTTGATCCGACCGTTCAGAATGAAGAGTTACATGTCTAGAAGATGTTGCCAAAATCGTAGCCCGATCCAACGGTGAACGAGCTAGAAATCGAAGAAAGAATACATGTTGCTCTACTACCTCTTCTTCTCTTTTTCTCTCTTGGTGTTCTTCTCCTCTTTACTATTTTCAATTCTGCCACTACAGTATCCGAACCACATTAATTTGAATACTAAAAGACAAAAATTAATATGGTAGTCCCACATCACATGGTGCGAGACCACACGGTAGTCCCACATCACATGGTGCGGGACCACACACAATAAATCTCCCCCTCAAGCACCATGTGAGGAATTCATCATACTGGCGATCAACATGTAAAATTTAATTTAAGAGGCTCTAACAAGCTTGTTTCCTTTCTATAGGACTCAAACTTCTCTTTCGGTAGAGGTTTGGTCATCATATCTGACATGTTGTCATCAGTATGAATCTTCTCAACAATGAATGACTTCATCTCCATAGCATCTTGAATCCATTGATATCTAACTTCAATGTGCTTTGATCGAGAGTGAAAAGTAGGATG